GGCTGGATAGCCAGTAGTTATAAATGTATTTAGATTTGTCTATACATATTTAGGAAAATTTATGGATTAAAAATTAAGCGGCTTTGCCATAAAAATATAGATAAAGTCAGTTTTGGATTTAAACGGAAGATATAATTAACCTTGGGTCGAGGCAATAATTACTCTTGGAGTAAGAGGATTGCGATCCGCTAAACTCGTACGTGTTCTAAGTATAGAACGAAAGGTCGGTGATCCAACTTACGCTTTCTCAAAGCGCAAAGCTACGGCAGCCCCGCTGTACATATGATGAAGCGGAACACAATAGTCGCTCAGAGAAAAATATTTCTCGATGCACTTGTGCGGAGATAACGCGTTGCCGGAGCGAGTTTCTTTCACTCTTGCATTTTAATTAATAAAGTGGTGCGTACATCCGTATGACTTACTCCGTTTTACTATAAACAATAAGTTCTATGATTTTGTGAATCCGTAACGGAGTAGCCTCGGTCTTGCCAAAACGGTGCTGTCAATGCAGTCTGAATCGCAGGTGTAACCTCAATTACACGTTTTAACAGAATTAGTTTTTCTATCTCAATAACACTAAGCGTCAGGCGCTGAGTGCGCAATGCTTGGCTAAAGTCGGGATGCCCGAAGCAAGACGCCGACGCCAATGGCACGCAAAATGATTTGTTGCGAAGGATAGAATTCTACTTTACTTTGTTAGCTTGACTATACATGCACTGTGTATGATCTAAGTGACTAAATTACGCTACATCGGACCTCTCGCTGTCGTGGCTAAGTAGGATCGTGCTGTACTCCCATTTTTTCAAGGAGAATGCGAGCACGTTCCATTTCTGCGTGCATTTGTAATGTTACGACCCCGCACTTACAATTCAGTCGAATGCAAAACGCTCTGTTTGGAGACGGGGCAGTGTGCTCAGAATTCTTCGTAGCTGAGCTACACCCTGCTCAAAAGTAGCGACATGATTCTAAATCACTAGGGGAACGCATTGTGACGGCGTCATTCATAAAGATATCAGATATTTAAATTCACCTCAGCTTAAGATGCGCACACCAAGAACCCACAAATAGTCGACGTGCCGTCACAGGAGAGAGCTCGTGAGAGCCAGTCGCGAGCAAGTCGTCCTTGGCATACACTGCCTGATGAGTAAGGGGTGACTCGCATTCGCATGATACATTGGGTATACTTGGACAGCTACCACTTTATGGTGAGAGGAAACGACATCTTTGCTTGGAAGGCTCATGAAGGTTTGAGGTCTCACCAAATACATTGCCTGACACCCTTGCAGCGTATGATCGCGCGCACTTTTGACCCAAATCTACCCTGGAGAAAAAGCTAAGCTGTCGGCACAATCGCTAACCTCTACTTAACATGTTGCAAGGTGTATTTGCGCAAAGATCAATCGCTTTATACGCTGAGAGAACGCGCAATTATCGAGCTACCATGATTTGATCCGTGACACCTGTACGCGCATGTCTAAAACCCTTTTTCATTCGACCTTTCATTTTGCTTGCACTCATAACCGTGCACAGTGCTTTGCAAACCCTTCAACATTTTTGAATCAACCTTACATTGTTCTTGACTCGATATCTATTTTTGTCATAAAAGGAGACTTATTAGACCTAGTACTTCTTGGAGCCCATTAGTGCATACGACTATCCAGGTCGCGCATTTGGAATATTTAGGGCATGTGCAAAGATAGAAGCCAACATTTATGCTAGTCAATATGACAGCGATCATATGTACCGTTTCTCTGATGGTTAGAATTCATCTCTCTCAAGGTCGGTGTTTGATTCCCCGACAGCGCAGAAATGCATTTGTTGTTTCGCATTGTGTCACCTTAAAATGCCTTCAAAGTTGAGATGTAAAGTTTACTGCTGCTTGTATGCTTAAGTTATATTTTGTTTTATTATCAATTTGTTAAAGGTGCGATTGGGCTTCACCAGTATTTACATCGCTTCATTAGGAGAAAGCTGTTAGCGCACGTTTCCATACTCAATAATTTGTCACGCAATTCGATGGAGTATCCGTTAGACAATGTTCAGATTAGAGCAAATAATTAATCAAACGTAATATGTGCACACCAAACCGTTACTCGTGAAGCATTAATATGAGCGGCTACACTTGTTTAATTTCGAGCGGTGCTCGCTTGGCTTATTATAAATCTGTTCTTCCTGCAATAAGTGATGCCAATTCACAAACATCAGTCTATAACAATGATTCAGCGAGCACGTACTGCACTTTTAAATTATACCTGTGCGCTATCTTACAATACGCGTCTCAAAACGGATCATATTATGATGGCGCAATTAAGCTGCAATGAATCTTTAAAAAGCGCAGTGGCAAATTCTGGAAGATGTTACGAGTTCGAAACGTCATGGCATCAAATCATCGGATGCCCGACGATATGCAACCATTTGCGCCACTGGGGGGCATTTCGTCTGAATTGTATCGACCCCTATCTTCATCACTGGTGCAGAGGTGCCAATGTCTTGCAAGCAAAGGGAGATAGGTCACAGTGCACGAACAGGCCAATAAAGCTGCAGCAATTGTACCTGCGATGGTGTCTTCGAGTGGTAGGCGAAATACATTGCTTATAGACTCATCTCAACCCTCATGAATCTATAGACTTTTCTTGAAAGTTTTATCATTATATGGAGTAGTGGTGCGAAAAATTTAAATCGTCACAAGCCGGTTGCGACGCGCTTATTGAAAACGAAGAACACTCCGCAGTACAAACGTATACCTAACGTCAACAGCAGCGATGTAGATTAACTGCTTCTTTTATTGTTGGATGGATATTATCATCGCAAATTACCATACAGGTCACCGGGAGGTCTCACGAGCCATCTTTAAAGCTCCATTTGCTAAATATGAGGGGTACCGGGCATTTAGCACTTCACATTGCGACTTAAACAAGATTTTTATGAATTTATGGAGGCGGGATATATCAAAGACTCGAATTCACCAGGTATTTGTTCAGCTTTGTCATTAGAGTCGTCATCATTGAATATATCTACAGTTGTAGCAAAATACACATTCTAAGATGGCATGATTCGGTTGTTCTTTAGCTAGCGTAGTACGCAAAGGTACCATGGTGATGTTGCATGATGAAGTTACGAGGTTAGTACTCTAGACGAATGGAAGACATGGTACATCGTAAGAGATGCATCCTTGGGTCACGTAAGCTGCTAGCTTCGCGCCATCACGTAGGATTTCACTATTATAGATAGTAAAGTAGATATTTCAAAGTATCATTTAAAGATGGTCTCAATTTAAATACATAGCTTGTTAAGTTTCAACAAAAAGAAGTACCGGTACTCGTAAGGATCTCGTTCTGGCAATTGAGTGGTTGCTGGTAAACCCGTGAACGAACGGTGACGCAAAACACCAAAGGTTTCTCGATCCGAAGTGCACCCAAATTCCATCATATCGAGTAGCATTTTGGCTCACCAATTAAAATAAGACTGTACAGTCTGGGGTGACAGACCACCCCATGATACAGCCATTTTCGATACAGCCATATTCTTCCCGGATTCATGACACTCGTTGATAATTCTTTGTCTTTAGTTGGCACAACGGAGGTAACACAGCTAGCAGCAGAAGATATGGAAGTGGTTATCGCTTGCGTGAAGGCAGTCATTAGCCCTGAGAGTGTCCAGGTAAATTAGCTTTAAGATCGCTGCAATTATTTACTACAGGGAGCACAACTTACCCCGACAGTAATTTGCTGTTGTTCAACTTTCAACTTTGTAGGGTTGGGATACAAGATCTTTTCGGGCTATCATGGTTATATTCCGTATAAAACAACAGCGTGTCGCACTAGCGGTTTGTTCGTGCTCGACAATGGGTAGTTTTGTTTGGTACCACCAAGTAGGCGACATCCCAGCAATATGATTTGCCTACTCGTTATCAAACGGATGCTCACACCAAAACTTACCTGTCCACTCTGTCTCCTCGACTCTGAAGTAGATTTTTCATTGGATTTAGAGCACATTATTCAGGCCTTGAGGAATAGTGACGAGAGATTGAAGGCTCTATATGCCCACCAGAGGTGATGGACCTCAGCCAATAATGAGGAATAAGTAGTAATATTTTAATCTGTCAAGCCGTAAGTGGTACCACCAAGGTATAACTTAGCATTTACGCTTTGCTTGTACCTATCCGTCCGGTTGAGAGGTAAGAAGCGTCGAGGCTCCACGCAGCGTCGATTGATGAACATCTAGTGAGGAGACGTCGAGGCTTAACAACCGAACGGCGGCCTACTGATCAAGAAATGGGCTCATTGTACATCGAGGATGCTAAAATCAATGCTATCCAGCCCTGAAGAGAGAGTTATTATCTCTAAGAGAGGTGAAGCCCATATCCCAAGGATGTAGATTGCCAGCATCAACGTTCTGGGCTTTGTGAAGCAATAAAAACCCTGATAAATAGATAAGCATTGGGCAATTATGAACGACGCGCGACTGCCAAATTGTTGCAAAAATCGTGCAGGCATTGACGGTCTCAAATACGAATACCGCATCCGTTATGTTCACTACTAAAGAGGTGAAGTTTTTAACCTTCCTTTTTTAACTTTAAGTTCTTTGACAGCGAAGCCGAAACGATTGTTCTCTCTTCTTGCAAAAGTTAATGGGTTATTTATTCCACATCTGCTAGGAAGTTAAATGTAACGAAGTTACACGTACCCTGGTAACAGGGGTATGTGTCACACAAGATGGGCATGGTGTGACTGCACCCAGACAAGAATACGGTATGTGGCTGGGTAGCCAGAAGTTATGCATGTATTTAGATATATTTAGAGAAATCTAATTTCTAAAATTGGGATAAATAAATAAATAAAACCAGTTTTGGATTCTAAACGGAAGAGCCAATTAGCTTTGGGTAAAGGCAATAATTACTCTTGGAGTAAGCGGATTGCGATCCGCTAGACTCGTACTTGTTCTACGTATAGAACAAAAGGTCGGTGACCTAAGTTACGCTTTGTCAAAGCGCAAAGCTACGGCAGCCCCGCTGCATTAAAGCGCTCTCGAGGCGAGTATGAAGCTGCGATGGCTCTACTTCGGGACATGAATTGGCAAAATAAAGTTGATAATCATATTGTCAAGCACATCTAGCTATATTCAAAGCTCGATCACTGGAAGATGATTCAGAGAGACTACGTGCCGTGGCTTTAGCAAAAATCCTTTCAAATTTGGCGATTGTAGCCGCAGGTAATAGAGCTGAACTCTGGTGTTATAGAATGTTATATCATGTCACGGTATGCAAGTACGACTGAGAAAGTGACACCGATGACCTGCTCACCATGAGAAGCACTAACCTCCTCTCACTTACCCAAGTAATACTTCCTACCCCAATTAACAAACGTTTTTAGCAATGTATGCTGTGTTTTTACAGGGCTTAGCGTTTGAAGTCTCATATCCGCTCTTCAGAACCGATAGTCAATTTCGAAACAGAGATTTTGAAAACACAGAATTAGACAACCCACATTATTCCATACCTAACTTTTAGTTGTACCACCAGCTGCGCGATGATCTGCATACGTTGCACTAGAAATCGGCAGCCCATTTATATGGTCACGACTGCTGACGTATACACACCACCGACACGAATTAATTTGTTCTATACTAAATCAGACTCACCACACGCCGCCTACGTGACCGGGTTCATGACTCACAAATTTCTATACGCAGAGAAGTTTGTGGATCCTATCGTTTACAAATTTCAGTCAATTTACTGCTCGTGGAGTATCCAACATCAAATGAAATCGTCGGTCTAATCTTCTCGTTGCTATCAAAATATTTTTACATCAGAATTGGTGCGACTGTTGAGAATTCTTGTGGCTTCAAATAGCTCGGTTGGGGTGCAGAAGGTTCTTTGAACGGTAGCTTTAAAAGCAAACGATACATTACTTAGTATTTATTGTATATAATATACATTAAGGTAGCCAAAGGTAGCAAACCCGGCTTTCTTAACTTTCAACAATAAAAGCAGAATGTAGCATCCAGAATAGATAAGTAATGATTGCGGAGCTAGGAAGGAATGGCGGACAAATGATAAATACAAAGCGTTTTGCCTGGTGTCGTACACCGAATCATTCTTGTCGAGAAATTGCAACGGCGACTGCACTTTCTGGTGTGGTAACGACATATTCGAAATCAATAACGTCACGACATTAGTGCGATCGATATGATCATTGAGCCGTCTTCTCACGCTAGGCACAGTTGAACGATGCTTTGCACTTCACTCAGCTTCAGACGGTTGCAACTGTTGCTAGTAAGGCGATATACTTCAGGCAAACAGTCGCTATCGTGCAGATCGCGGCTAATCCACTGAGCCCATTGTTTGTGTGAAAGCTTTAGCAGCATTTCATTCCGGGAAGGAGCTTCCTGCGGCAGCGCATAGACTGAAAAGATGGCTCGTCCTTCGCAGTCAATGGCGACACAAAATAGCTTTTGCTGACCACTGATCATCTCAAATCCTTCTTCAGATGGTATCAAGCTTAGTGATAAAGTTTGTGGGGAAATAAAAGCTCTCTCGATTGAGCTTCGATGGCTACGAAAGTCGGTACTTTTGGCAAAATTCCTTGCACTGGATACGTCAGGGGTTGAAAGACTGCCAGCCATTTCAAAGACGCCACCCTGAGAGAGAAGTTTGATACTAGTGATTAGTGTATTCGTTGCCTCGGATCCTCGCTGTCCGCACGTCGAGACTTCGTCACTAAAATCAATAAAATGATCATTTTGAACGTCGGAGTTGCTGAAGTTGTCACTGTCAGAGAAGCCAGAACAACTTTCATGGATAGTACTAACTGTCTCCTGGCGATTCAACTTGACACCTTTGCTCGTACCGTTAAATGCCTTACGCAAAACGGCGATCCAGTGGCTATAAGCTTCAGCATTGGGTGCTCGAAATTTAAGCTTCTTACCTTTCGCTCCATAGCGAAGAGTAAACTGAAGTTTTTGACGGTCTCTATTCGATCGTGGAATGAGAGTTACTAAAAACCCACGACAATCGACTGGTAACTCGATGTTACCACCACAGATACCTGAACGATATATACGAAAAATGCACGTAGTGTTTTGAGTGCCGCATGGCATGATCCTGACCAATAAAATGGAGGTTTTAAGCCAGAAAGGTCCGAGCTTGAGTTTCATAATGCTGGAGAGTACCATCTCGGATAGCTGGTTAGCTGATTTACAAAGTGCAGCTTCTTCTTAAGTGCTGATTTGATAGGAAATTTATTAATGCGTCGGAGCGTCGGCAGCGTCTTTATAAAGCTACCACGAAATTCTGTGAGAAAGGGAATTCTCTACTGCCATCAATTCAGCATGTGTCCGAACGCAAGGTACACAGCTGTTGTTGAGCACTATTCAAATTATGGCAATTCATCATTTACAGCCCTAAGTGATCACTTGGTTTACCAGCCTTTATTGCTTAGCCATAATGACACGTTTTTTCGATCTTAACACAACAAATCTTTTCTATTTATCCTGGTAATGGCCCTTTACCATAATATGGTAATCGTTTTGTTACCATATTATGGTAATATCATGGTAATCAAAACAACAGTAGAAAATATTTTATCAAAAAGTTTAAGTAGCTCTACAGTCTTGACTGATGCTGCGTACATTGGGGCGACAGCGTCGCGGATGGAGCATAGTCATGGAGTCTCGCACTCTCTTCTCGTCGCGAATTGCTAGTGGTAGAGTTGGTCTTGATCAAGAGGTGCCGTAAGATTGTCAAGTATTACGTGTATCTAAACAACTCAATTATAATGAAATTCTCTAATACAGCGGCAAATATTGGAATTAAATGGATTAAAGATTCAACTCAAACATCCAAACTCGGTAGAACTTGTGCCACGTGGGTACATCGTCGAAATGCTGCAAGGACGCGCGATGTCGCAAGTACAACTGATTATTTTCATTTGTTTTTTAAGGTTTTATACTGATCGAATCTTGTTCATGTAGGAAGTGCTTGAGCATTTGCGGTGGATGCTCCAAAAAGACCTTTTGGATCAGGATATATTTTTAATTGGGTACGCGAGCTTAAGTTGATACAATACCAATCATACTTTGAAAGAAACGTTGTTATTTGATAGTCCTCCAGGGTCATCGCGACGACTATTAAGTATGCAATTCTGTGAGCTATTGAACAAAGAAATGGAATATGTTGCCATTTCTAAAGATACAACAGAGTCTGACTTGAAGCAGGTTTGTAAATTACACGACTGGTTTCCGAGTCGGAGTTGATATTAACTTGAATCGTTTACCAGCGCCGAGAGATCGTACACGGTGTATCAATATTTACTGACCAAGCACCTTTGCGAGCTGCTATCTATGGAAGAGTGCTTGTAATCGACGGTTCGTGAGCTGCCGAAATCTGTTGCAACGTTAATTATTGTGCGTTGTATGGATTCTGATTAGGTCTGGAAAAGGCAGAGCGCAATGTTTTACCAACCTTAAACAATTTGCTTGAAAATCGAGAAATGATGCTAGACGATGGACGATTTCTCATGAAAGCACAAAGTTACGATGCATTAATTAAGCAAGGATACTCAGATACGGAGCTAAAAGATCAAAAGTTAATCCGAGTGCACCCTGACTTTCGAGTCATTGCTTTGGGTCTGCCCGTGCCTCCGTATCCCGGTCGGACATTAGATCCACCGTTGAGGTCGCGATTTCAGGCTCGAAACATAAAGTCAACTTCGCCAGGTGCACAAGTCGAAGATCTGATCGCGATTGCTCCATCGGTACCGCTTCCGACGCTCGAAAATCTCGTTGCTATTCGAGAAGCTGTCAACACGGTTGAAGCCACATATGACAATAGTATGAGCTTTGGTCCACGCATGCCACACTTCGATTTTCAGTCGCTCGTGCACTGTGCTAAGATTCTGGAGAAATTCCCGAATGCCAGCTTAGCGAGCATTGTCCATCGAGCGTTTCCTTTATCCATTACTACTTTGGGATCCAGTACTGGGTCCAACTTAAAGGCTCTTGATCGCATTCTGGAAAAGTTTACAGGTGGGTCTCAGGGAACAAAGCACGTACTTGACACCGTATTGAAGACATCCGAAAATGATAATTCAGCAACGATCTCCTTTCGCACTCCCACCCAGCTCGTACTTCACGATGTTCCATGTGGAACTAATCATATAGGAGTGAATATGCCAGGATTTGTGGAAACAGACACTTTCTTAAATCTGCTGGCTGAGATGATTCAAGATCACATCGTCGGTAGCGATTTATGTGTTCTCGGCGCCAAAGGTAGTGGAAAATCGACATTGGTGAGACTGTTTGCCCACCGTTTGGGA